CATAGAAGCATAATGTTGGCTGCCGTGATCCCCCTGCTTTACCTGTGGCAGGTTCAGGTGTTGTGTCTTGTGTTGTGTCAGGGTTGATGGTAGTTTCATGAAGGGTTCAGATTATGGATTGGTATAGGATGGTTTGGATAGGGATGATCCTGCCTCGCCAGGGGGGTTGGATTAGATGGCCTCTGGAGGTCACTTCCAGCTCTACATCTTTATGACACTATGGCTGCCAATTAGCAACTGGTTAACTGTGTTCATAATGTCAGCAGGTGCACCAAACAGAGCCCTAAAGAGGGGGGAAATGTTTCCAGGCATCTGGGATCTCTGCCATTTTTGCACCAAGGTGTAGAAAAGGTTTTATAAGGGGATAAACACAGCTAAGGGATAAGGACAGCTTATTGCATCACATTTTCTGTACGTGGATCCTAACGTGTGGTGCCTTTCATCACAGAAGACCTGGGTTCAAATCCTGCCATGGTTCCCAGCTGACCACCGTGACATTCCTGGCCCCAAATTTGCTCGTAATAGAAATGTTGCATAAGAGCATTTGGCCTTGGAGAGCTTAATATTTGTAGATCGTGAATGGGTGGAGCTGGATTTTCTTCTAGCTCTGTTGCAGGCTGGAGCCACTGCAGCGAGACCCTTGGCATGATAATTCAGAAGTAATTCTGCACCCAATACAAAAATGCAGCCATCTCTGGGATGCAACATGGATGGTGTGTATTGATGCCCATCGATGCTTTTTTGGGGAGTTTAGGCTGGGAAGTGAAAATGTATCTGAGTTCAGAAGCGTGCCACTCATCCCAAAATGTATTCAAATGTGAAAAGCCACGAGTGCGAGGATACTTAAACTGGCTGCAGGAAGAATTACCCCAATGCCTGGCTCCGGAAAGTAGTGAACTTCTACCCAGCGTCCTGTTAACTTCCCTCCTGGCTGAAATGGCTTCGTGGAAAATGATGTTTAGAAAACCTACATGGCAATTCTCCCTTTGAGTCACACTGTACCAAATGATTACGGCCAATTTGTGTCTGAAGGCACTGCTTTCAAAGGGGCTGCGCTCTAGTGATAAATCAATTCTTAATCGTTAGGGAGCTTGAAAATACTTTCCCACCTAAAGGAATGGCTAATGCCCTCTCCTTAATAAAATATAAGCTGGAGAGTGAGATAAAACAGGATGGGAGAGATAATTGGTTTGCGTTGGCTCCATCTTATTGCAGCCTCACCTTTTGCCTAGCTCCTGCTTCCTCCATCCAGAAGTAACGGTGTGAAACTATGGGCTGTGCTCTGCAGCAGACCAAACTATAGGATCTCTTGGTATCCTTGGGTCTTCCCATCTGTGAAGCCATCTGCTTCAGAGTGCATCACACGCCAGGATGTGGAAGAGCATCTTGAACTGGAAGGCTGTGTTACTTACCGTATATTCTCACATACCACGCAACCCGCCCTCCCTACCCAAACCAGACATACACCTTGTTTTGGGAAGGCAGAATCTAGAGAAAAGGATTTTTCCACAGTCTGAGCTGGCTTTTTCATGGGGAGGCTGCATTGCAAGATGACTGCCATCTTCTTTTTCAGCTGCCAGAAACTGTAAACACTGGGCGCGGCCCCTCCTGCCCTCTTGCTGAGAGAGAAGCTGGCAACCATTTTGCAATGTAGCATTCCTAAGCTTCAATTCTGGCAAAGAAAAACAGCTTCTCCACTTAATGCATGCACCCCAGTTTTGGAGGGCTGAACTCTTGGGGAAAAGGTGTGCATGGTATGCAAGGAAATACGGTATTTGTATTGCAGGAGCACTCGGGGCCATATCTACATTGCAGACTTGCTGTGATGCCCTCAGACACACTGCAGCTCCTCCTGACCTAGAAGCAGTGGAGACACCCCAGCTCGGTGTTTCGGGTGGGCTAACCAGCCCTGCTGAGCGATAGTGCGGATTAGCTCGCTCCCGTGCAAATCACCCTGTGGGGCAGCAACACAGCTCCTACTTCAACAAGCTGCCTGCACAGATCTGTGCAGTGTGTTGGAGGGTGCACATACCTGGCAGCGTAAGTTTGCAGCATCGATATGGCCAGGCCATGCTGTACGAACACCTGGGAAAGGGAGTCCTTGCCACAAAAGCTCGACAGTCTCTAGAAAGGGCTAGCAAAGAGGATGGAGTTGCTGCAAGGGTTTATTTCCCTCCTAGGAAAGGCGTGTTGAAATACCGAAGGATAACGCTAAAGCAGTGATTTGCAGCCAGGATGTCAAGAGCCATTGAGAACCACTCCAGCAAAGCATTAGCTACGCTCCACGGTGCTGCAGCCGAGACTGAATCAAGATATGTCTCACCAGCCCAAACCTGAAAAGTGTGGAAATAAGAAGTTAAGGAGATAGGCTTGTGCCTTCTTTCCCAATTTCACATTGCCTACAACAGTGTTAGAAACCCACTCTGACACTCCCAACTGGATAGCAAAATCAGTTCATCCTCATCTTCTCCTATACAGGGACTTGGCAGTGACCTCATGTAGCTTTATCCCACCAGACTGACATACTTCCCTGCCTCAAGCTGTGCATTTTGGCAGTTCTTCTGCTTTAATGTGTCTTGTCAGCCATCTTCGGACCCACAGATAAAGCAATTATGGAAGTCAATCATTCTTGGCTGCAAGGGACTGCTGATAACTATACACGCAGAAATCCCTATGGAGATATTGAGCCTCATCCCTTAATATACCTTGATAACCAACTGCTCTTTCTTTGGTCCGTAACTACTTCTAACAACTTTTCTTTTTGCTCCAGGGGTTTATTGCCCTCTTCCCCCTTTTTTGAAGTGACTATTTTCTTGTCCATAATGGGATTTCAACAAAAATTATCTTTGGTATTTAGCTAAGGCTGTCTCCGCTTCTCTCCCAGATTGGTGGAAGGGCATTTTCTGCTTGAAAGCTTGGCTAACATCTCTCCCAACCCTACAGTTGGCCCAGTTAAAGACATTACAAGACAAATCTTGGTTCGCTTAATAACCAAGTTCAGCCATGCTGCGTAAGGATGTTTCTGTGCCTGAGCATAGCTGAAGGTTGCTCATTAAACTTTCAAGCCGGTGTTCATGGAAGACATTTTGCACTTAAAATCCTAGAATCACAAAATTAGGGCTAGAAGGGACTTCAGGAGGTCACATCTAGTCCAACACCCTGCTCCAAGCAGGACCAGCCCCAAATACATCATCCCAGCCAAGGCTTTGTCTGCCTGGGTCTTCCAAACCTCCAAGGATGGAGATGCCACAACCTCTCTGGGGAGCCTGCTCCAGCGTTTTACTTCCCTTCTCATGACAGTTTTTCCTAATATCTAACTTAGCTCTTGCTTGAAACATACTGATGCCTTTGTAGGTTAACTCAGCATTGGGTTACAGATCACGCTCCTCTAAACCCCTCAGGCACCATCTTCCTTGCTCCCCTCCCCTCCCCTCCAAGGAGGACATGTGGTCTCATGCTTTAAGATGGAAACAGTTGTCCAGGACCTCCAAAATGCGAATCCAAGCTCAAGCACCAATTTAGCATAGCCAAGTCATTTCACTTCTCTAGGCCGAGGCTACTCCATCTGTAAAATGGGATTCCCCCCATGAGACTTGACTAATTGCTGTACGGCGGTTTGCAGGGAAATGCAGGATACTATTTTCTTCTTCTAGTTCGAATGCGAGCAGCCAGGCACCGACAATCGTGGACACCTAAATTTCCTTCCTCCCACAGATCAGGAGCTGAACCTAGGTCTCCTGGTTTGCCACGTGCTGCTCTATCCCAGCTGCCTGGTGGGGTGGTTATTTTTATACCTTTTTACTAGGTAAATCGTCCAGGGTGACATCTGCTAAACCAATAACACCAAATGCCTCGCTGCCCAACAGGGTTTGCAGTAACTGCAGTTGTGCATTATTACTTAAGTCTCTATTGTTATGTCTTGTCTGTTGTGTAGGGTGACCCCATTACTATTTTTGGACCACAAGGCTACAAAGGCAACAAAGGAGACGCGGTAAGTCTGGAGCAGCATGTCTCCTCCATTGCTCTATTAGCCTTCACCACTTGTAGCAATGCTCGCCATTATCTTGCATATTCCACCTCCTCGGCCTCATTTGTGTCCAGCGGCAGCTACGATGAAACGCATACGAGTCAGAAACCTGCTCAAGCTGGGAAATTTCTATGGGCTCGACATGACTTTCTGGCGGGGGGAGCTCCCCCTATGAAACAGAAACCTGTCGAATTTGGACTTTTTCCCTGGTCCTGTGTGATTTGGTCTTAGGCAGGTTTCACTAGACAATGTGGCTTTGAGGTGGGAATCGTAGCAGCGGTAAACTGAACAGGGATAGTTAATATGTCAGAGGGGTGAGTGGATAATATAATATAATAATAAAATATAATAAAATATAATAATAAAAAAAAATGCTGAACCAGGGACTGATGGTGGCATATGGAGTCCTTCACTCTTAGGTGCCCGGTTGCACCCGGTCCTGGGCTGATTACATATAGGACACGTCTACATATCACCGTACAGCGACGATGCTACTGCACCGTCCTCTAAACCCTTGAGGGGCCATCTTTTTCTTGCTCCTTTCCCTCCAATGAAGGACATGTAGTCTCATGCTTTAAGATGGAAACAGTTGTCTGGAAAGCTAATCCAAGCTCAAACCGATTTCCCATAGCTGAGGCACTTGACTTCTCTAGGCCTTGGGTAGTCCATCTGTAAACTGGGAATCCCCCTGTGAGACAAAGAGTGGGCAAGCTAATTCCTAGATGGGCTGTGCTGGAAAAAACTTCAAGTAGGGATCTTCTAGCAATGGCCACCACCACTTGTCCTTCCTTCTGTGCTTTGCTCTCATGAGCACTAGGCAGGGAGGTAGGGGCAGAAGGGTCATGGCCAAACTTCCTTTGCTCCCACATTGCTTAGGTTGGGTGAGTACTGAAGGAGGAATGGGCTATGGGGAGATCTGCCTTGAGATGTGATACTCAGGTGGACTTTCATGGTCAAGCTAGACCACTGCTGGGAGGCATTTTAGGGAGTTTTTAATACAGCGGGTTGCGGGATTAGGGTTAGAGGGTGGGCCTGAGGTTGGACCTAAGTAAGCAACATGGGGAGGGTGGTGTCAGTCCTGTTCCTAGAGGGAGAATAAATTGAGCATTGGTAGGTGATGAGGTGGGGGGACTTCTAGAAGTATTGCTCCACTGGAGTGAATTTCAGACAGGCACGTCTGGATTCGGTGTCCTTCCAAGGGTGGTTTGTCCTTCCAAGGTGTTGTCCACAAAAGTTTTGTCTGACCCCTTAGGGCGAAAGAGGCCCACCAGGCTTTGATGGAGACAAAGGCGAGAAAGGGGAGGACGGGCCTGCAGGAGAAAAGGTAGGAGCTTCCTAATTCCTTATGGGTCCTTGGAAGATGCAGAAGCTGCATGTCCTGTTTGGGGTGAATCAGCCTTGTAGGTACATGGCTGTCCTCTACAGGATGCCATGCATAGGAGCCGCCCAAATGCAGCCTAGCGCTGGTGTGCCGGGTCTCACTGCCTGGCAGAGTTTGAGAGTTTGTAAATGAAGATGATGCCAGGTGTCCAGGTTGTAAATGAAGATGATGCCCTTAGTTCCCTGGGTTGCTTGCATGTGGCAAGCTGACAACTGAGAGTCTCTGCGTCCGTCATGGGAACATAGCACACGGTACTGGAAGGGATCTCCTTGGTTATCGAATCCAAGCCCCTGTTATGGCAGGAGGCACTTCATATAGTCCCATTCATGCATCTCGAGCTCCTTCTTAACGTCTGTGTCATTAGAGCAGATCTGTAGTCACTTGACTTTCATTCATGGCTGCTTGGACATTCGTGGAAGCAACAGAAGAATAAAATGCATGATAGTTGATCTAGAGAAGCATGGGCCACTGCCACATGAAACAATGGAGGATCTCTGTCAGCTCTCACAGAACGGGGTCTTTGACACAACCAAGCTTTCTTGTTCTGTTAGGAAGCAGTAACGCCCCTACGCTTGACTTGATCAATAATTTCATCTCAAGCTGGTTCTTCCTCCAAGCATGGCTAAACATAAGCAAGAGGCAAGGATTTCTGAGGGTGATCTCTTTTACTGGACCGGCTGTGTGGTTTGGATAGAGTCCGACAACTTTTTGAATGCACGGCATCCTTCCTAGGTCACCTTGCCTCTTGCATCATTTCTGGAGCATCACAGCCACAGCGTCGCTTTTGCACTGTTGACACCTAAGCTGCGTTCTGCTTTGCGTGGAGAGCACAGACCCCCCAGCATGTTTAGTGAAGGTTGAGTTTGCTTTTCTGTTCTTGCCCAAAACTTCTCCCCACCCCCAAGCGTCATGCAGCGAGTGGTGCATTGGTTTGTGTCCCCGCACCTGTAACCCCACTCTGCCTTTTTCTGTGTCCCCTTCTGACGTGCCAGGTTTCAAGCTGTCACCCTGTCAGGGTCACATCGTGCAATTTTCCCACTCTCAGACTGAGCCCTGGGCACTAAGCACAATTACTTTAGCAGGTCTAAATTAGATTCCGGACCTGCACTTCTCTTCCCTCCAGAAGGAGAATAATCCCCCGTGTGCAGTGACCCCACCATTGTGTATGGCACAATATCACTTACCTAAAATCCAGGCATTTCGGAGACGAAGCTCTTAACCAGTAACCAAGCTGTACACATATCTATCTCCCCAAAAGTGCATTGGGAAGAAATCTCAGGATATCCTGCAGGATCTGTTTCTGGGCTCCGATCAGTCTCTTCCCTACACCCCCCACAAACATCTCAGTAACAACTTCTCCTTTCCTCGTCCCTCCCCTTTCTGTGACAATTTCATGTCACGTTGATTTCTAAGCTCTCAGCCTTGGCAAGACATATGGGTAACTTTGGGTTAGAGCCTGGAAGCATCATTACCACTAATAACGCCGTCATTGCTTAGCAATTGTCCCTGTGGTGCTTCATGGGAAACGGGTTATCTGGAGCCAGGGTGTTGCCTTCCTGCTTGTTTTCCAACCGTGTCTTGCTAAACCAGACTGATACGTTGAGACGGGAAAGTCCAATGCCCCCATAGCATTATGCAGGGCGGAGTGGCAGGGATTGGGATGAGAGGCGAGGAGGTGCGCGAGCAGACCCTCTTTATCAACCTTGATCCAAGGAATGAACACCCCCAGGACAGCCACAGGCACTGGATAGGCAGCCACACAAGAAAGCAGGGGAGGATGGGGAAATAGGATTTTTAAGTGGAGGGAGCAGCTTCTAGATCCACGATGCTAAAATCCCTTTGCTCCGCATGTCTTGTTTTATTACCGCCAGGGCGTTAAAGGCGAAGCCGGTTCCAAAGGAGCAATTGGGCTGTTCGGTCCCCGAGGGCCCGTGGGACAGAAGGTCAGTGCTGTGGGCCAGAGAGACACTAGAAAACCAATGTGGAGGAAGCATGGTTAAGTGGCCGGCATCTGGGAGCTGGAGTTAGACCCTCATAATGGTGCTTCAGGGTCACCCAAGCTCCTTTGGTCCTGTGACCCTGCACCACTCCGGTGCTATAAATGCAAAAGTGATGTCTCTGTACCCTGCACCCTCCAGGAAGATAACCCCTCGCCACAGTGGTCTTCCTCTTGGTCAAGACAGTGGAGTAGCTCTGTCAGCCCCTGACCTACCCACTTGTATCCCTTGGGGTATCTCCTTGGATAATTAGGCATACGAGCCTCCAGGGTTTCTCCAGCTGCCCAGTGGGGAGAGTGACGTGGAAGTCCCTCTGCAGTGTGCTGTGAGCACGCGGATGTTCACGAGGAGCTTTGCGGCATGCATGGCTATAAGGAGGGTAACTAAGAAAGAGGCTGGAAAAAGCCTCCAGCCAGGCCCACTGCATTTCAGATGACACTTAAAATCGAAGACCTGACCATCTGTTGTCCCCAAGCCACAGCTAGGTGCTCCAGCTGACTTGCATTTTCTTCAGAAAGAGGCTTTTCTTCGCTTCCCGTCCTAAACTGCTGTGCCAAGTGGCATTGCACAGCTGTTCAACATCTGTCATGTCCTGCCCCAGAGGCAGCTGCACTCTTTGGTACCTTGGGATCCTCCAGGAGCTGAAGTAGTGGGAGAGAGTCTTGCTATGACCGAATGGGGGCTTGCTCGCAGAGCAGAGGCTGCAGGTTGAACGTAGCTGTTTCTCATGTTTCATGCACCGCTGCTTTTCCTTGCAGGGAGAACCTGGAGAGCCTGGCCTGCTGGGATTTGCTGTGAGTTGGAGCATGTGGTGACCCCATTTCATGTTAGTGGTATGAGAGTATCACAGAGATGATGTGTGACCCACCCTCAGAACTGGCATGCCACCTGTGCACTCAACAGGCCCTTGACACTTAAGAGGGTGGGATACGTCTGAACATTGCCTGGTGTCTAGAGCCAGGATGGCTGGGAGAAGAGTGCATGTAGGACCACTGGGGCTTTCCTTCCAGGTTTGGGTATCCAGGAGCAACACCACACAAGGGCTCAGCCTGTTCTTCTCCCGTGCTGGACAGGCTTGGGTGGTGGTAGGGCCATGGGCTCCTCTCTGACTCACTTGCTGCTCAAGTTGTTGCGAGCAGGGAGGTGCCGACAGAAAGGAAATAAATTGGGTGAAACAGTTCTGAGGCTGCCTGTACAGATGAGTGGCATCAGCAATACTCTTTAACCAGGGCATTGCGTTTTTGCATCAAAGGATCCCTTAAATATGGATTTTTTTTCACCTTATCTTTTGGGGGTACATTGCATGGCTCAAACAGAAACTGAAATCCAGTGAAAGCTGGATAATTAGTCACTGGGATAACTCACCACAATTGTCTTAGAAGCTGGTGCGCTGAATCCCGTTGACTTGTGCACAGAGCCCTTCGGCTCATTCACCACCTGTGGCAGCATAATTAGCTATTTCCAAATGTGGATGCATCCTAAATCACAATGAAATTTGCACCTGATAATTAGTCGACTTAAAAGGTAGTGAGTCTGGCTTCAAAATAGCATCAAAGCAGCTAGCTGATGCTCAGAAGTTGTTGGATACGCCTTAGCTTTTCTTGGCTCCTCTCTTGTCATTGTTATACAGTGAGCACACTGTATGCAGAGGAGAGGGATGTTTTTGGCTGAGAAAACAGTGCAAACTAGACTTGGGAGAGGTTGTTCCAGGCATGAAGATAAAGGTGGGATGGGATGAACATGATGCTCTGGCTGACAAGGCGAGAGGCCTCTATGTCAAGCCTGGATAGGGATGCCCCTTCCCATGCAGTGTTTGCATCCCAATCCAGGAGGCAGCGAATAGATTAGCTACAATTTTAAGCTGCCGAATGTCTGAGAAGTGCACCGGCTGTTTAATTTGTGCTCTTACTGCTGTCCCATAGATTCATAGATTTCATAGACATCCGGGCTGGAAGGGACCTCGCAAGATCATCGGGTCCAGCCCCTTGCCCAAGGGGCAGGAAGGCAGCTGGGGTCAGATCACCCCAGCAAGATAAGCATCCAAGCATGTCTTAAAGGTACCCAGAGTAGCTGCTTGCACCACTTCTGGGGGGGAGTCTGTTCCAGACTGAAGACTCAGACAGTAAAGAAGTTTTTCCTTATGCCCATTCTAAAGCAGTCTTGGAGGAGTTTGTGACTGTTGGACTTTGTCATCCCCTAGGGAGCCCTGGTGAACAGATGTTCCCCCAGATCCTGATGCACACCCCTGATGTACTTATAGGCTGCCACCAAGTCCCCCCTGAGCCTGCACTTCTCCAGGCTGATGAGTCCCATATCCCTCAGCCTCTCTTCATAAGGCCTGTTCTCCTGCCCTCTGATCATGCACGTAGCTCTCCTCTGGACTTTTTCAAGCTTCTCCACGTCCTTCCTGAATTGTGGGGCCCAGAACTGGATGCAGGACTCCAGCTGCAGCCTCGAGTACAGTGGGAGGATGACTGCTTGGGTGTTGCTTGAGATACATCGGTAGAGGCAAGCCAAAGTTTTATTTGCTTTGCCGGCTGCAACATCACATTAGTGGCTCATTCATCTTATGGTCAGTCACGACCCCCAAGTCTCTTTCAGTCGTGGTGCTAGTGAGTGTAGCACTGCCGAGCCTTGAAGTACGATGTGGGTTTTTTCTCCCAAGCTGGAGCACCTTGCATTTCTCCATATTGAACGTCATCAGGTTTTGATGCGGCCACCTTGCAAGCCTGTCTAGGTTAGCCTGAATTGCCAGTCTATGCTTTAGAGCGACCACCTGGCCCCATTATTTGGTGTTGTCTGCGAACTTAGCCAGTCCACTTCTGACACCTGAATTCAGATCATTTATGAATATATTCATAAATATTCATATTCATATTCATGAATTCATATTCATACTGAGCCCTGGGGGATGCCACTGGTCACCACGTGCCATGTAGACTCGGTGCCATCCACTATCACTGTCTGGGTCCGACCAGCCGTCGGACCATAAAGCTGTTGAGGCCGCAGTTCCCTGATATTACCATGAGGACATCATGGGAGACCAAATCAAAGGCTGTTTTGAAATCTAAATATGTGACATCAACCTCTTCTCCTTTGTCCAGGTGATGTCTCACCTGGTCATAGATAGAAGAAGAAAAGCACCCAGGACAACAGGCCAGTGGGAACCAGCCCTGAGCATTGCATAGGTCCCCAGCACACCTTTTGCCTCTGCCAGTCGTAAAGGGCTCATCTGGGATTTGAACCCAGGACCGCTCACACCCAAAGCGAGAATCATACCCCTAGACCAATGAGCCATTTGAAAAAGGCAGCAGAAGCAGACCACATGCCAGGCCCCGTCCCAGAAAACCTGTTCTTCTTACGTATGTTGGGAGAAACATTGGTTCCTTGTTGAATATTTCACGCTTCCTCACCACGACTGAATGAAAGATGGACGTGCTGCTGTAGTGGAAGTCATGACCTGGTAGCGAAAGGGGCTCTTCCCAAACTTGGCAGTTTCTAAGCTTTGCAGGGCGTTCTCGGTGCAGTGAGCACTCCTTGCCTGTTCAAACAGCCCTTTGCATCACATCCAGCCTGCAGGATTCATGACTAACCCTCCGCATTATCAGTCTATTGTGCTCCCTCTTTTCTTTACAGAGACATGAAACTTGTTCTAGGAATATTTTAATGACAGTGTCCACTGAGCTTTATACTTAACGGCAGCTATTTCCAGCATTCGGTTGGTAATTGCTTTTAAATGGCTCTCTTAGTAGCTTTTATTTCCCTGCCTTTGTTTGCCTGAAGAGGCTCGAAGTGAAAATTCACAGAAGGAACTTAAGCTGAGTCTACCCAATCATGTTTTGCTGGCGTGGAGAGCTCAGCTGGGGGTGGGTCTGAAAAGATTGCACCCCCACCCCAGCTGGGGGGAGGTGAGGAAGCCCCACATCTGGACAGAGCTATGCCCATAGAAGAGGGCTCCATCAGCCAAGTGTCTGTTGACCCGAGAGGTTTCACAGATTCATAGACTCACAGATGCTTGGGCAGGAAGGGACCTCAACAGATCATCAAGTCTGACCCCCTGCCTGGATAGGAAAGAGCGGTGGGGTCAGGTGACCCCAGCCAGATGCCTGTCCAGCCTTCTCTTAAAGACCCCCAAGGTAGGGGAGAGCACTACCTCCCTTGGCAGCCCAGTCCAAGTTTTGGCCACCCTTACAATGAAGAAGTTTTTTCTGATATCCAGCCTAAATCTGCTCTCTGTCAGTGTGACCATTGCTCCTTGTTACCCCAAGAGGCGCCTTGGTGAGCAGAGCATCTCCAATCCCTTGCTGCGTCCCCCAGATGAATTTGTAGGAGGCCACAAGATCACCTCTCGGACTTCCCTTGTGGAGGGTGAAAAGATCCAGGTCCCTCAGTCTCTCCTCATAGGGCTTGTCCTGTAAGCCCCTGACCATATGAGTGGCCTCCTCTGGACCATCTGGAGTCTATCCACATCCTTCTTGAAGTACGGTGCCCAAAACCAGACGCAGTACTCCAACTGCGGTCTGACCAACGCCACATAGAGGGGAAGTATCACCCCCTGGGATCTATTTGTCATGCATCTGCTGGTGCATGATAAAGTGCAGTTAGCTTTGCTGATGATTTCGTCACACTGACGACTCCTGTTCATCTTGGAGTCCACTAGGACTCCAAGATCCCTTTCTGCTCCTGTGTGGCTGAGAGGGTCACTTCCCAGCCAGTGGGTGTACTGGATATTTTTACACCCCAGGTGCAGCACTCTGCACTTGTCCTGCTGTACTGCATCCTATTGTGTTCTGCCCACTTTTCTAACCTGTCCAGGTCTGCCTGCAATTGTTCCCTACCCTCTGGAGTGTGCACTTCACCCCACAATTTGGTACTGTCCACAAACTTGGACAGAGTGCACATCACACCCACATCCAAGTCACTGATGAACACATTGAAGAGTACAGGTCAAGGACTGAGCCCTGCGGGAATGCACTGCCCACATCCTTCCAGGTCCATACCGACCTGTCTACTACCACACTCCGGGTGTGACTGCTAAGCCCATTTGCTGCCCACTGGACCCTGTAAATATCTATGTTGCAGCCTCTTAATTTATTTATGAGAATGGCATGAGGTGATGTAGCTCTGGCCAGCAGAAAACCCACCATCCCATGTGACTCTGCTAGGACACTTTGTACAGCTTTGGTGGCAGCAACACTCTCAAGTAGACAAGCACCTAAGCACAAGCCTTGCCCCAGACACACTCCTCTCTAAACCCATTTCCTATCTTCCTTTCTCCCAGCCTCTCTTGGCCCATGGAAGCTTCCTATTTACCCCCAAATGAAAATGGTCTTGGAAAATGCCACTTCAACGATTCTCCCAAATTAGATCATTGAGTGATGAAGTGTTTGGCATTCCTTCTCCTGGGGAAGGCTCTTTTTTGCTCCTCTCTTTATGATTATTATATATGATTACTATTTATTAGTTATACTGCAGAGCACGCAGAAGCCTAACCCATGCACCAGCACCCAATGGTTCAAGGCACTGCTGAGATGTAGGACACAGAGATGGTCCCTGTCCTGAAGAACGAAGTATAAGGCAAGCGACAACCTCTCAGCTTTTGGCAAGATTTAATCACCCAGGGGCATAATAAGCAATTATTTGGGGCTCTGGGCAGCAGTGGCCACCACCACAGAATCACAGAGAAGTCGGGCTGGAAGGGACCTCCAGAGGTCATCTAGTCCAAACCAGGATCATCCCTATGCAAACCATCCCAGACAAATCCTTAGCAAAACTGCACGGCTAACCCAAGACATAACACTGTAAACTGCCACAGGTTAAAAAGAAGAGCCGCGGCAGCCAAGTCCTGCTGGTGTAAAAGGTTTTTAAAATAACGGAATCCCAGGTAGGGGGCTACCCCCCCCCCCACCTACTACAGTAGAAGGCAACTTCCTCCCTCAATATGTACCAGTTTGATCAAGGGGTAAAATTCCTTCCTGATCCCAAATATGATGATTGGTCTGACCCAGAGTGGAGGGGCAAGACTGTCTAGTCAGGAACCTCCAGGTTTAAATTCCCCCTACATCCAATGCCTCTGAGTAAAGCTTAAAAAAATCCCCTGATGCATAGCAGAAAGGAAAGGGGGGAGAAAGGTGGAATTCCCTCCCAGCCCCATGTGGCAACCAGCAAAGCCCAGAAACATGGAAAATGCCCCATAGGAGAACATAGGCATCACTGCACCTAGACCATCCCTGAACAATGCGTATCCAACCTCTTCTTGAATGCCTCCAGGGATGGAGAGGACACAACTTCCCTAGGTGTCTAGTCTGCTGTCTCCCTGCTCTAGCAGTGAAGAAGTTTTTCCTGATATCCAATCTAAACCTACTTTACTACAGTTTGAGCTATTGTTCTACGTCCTGTCTGTTGCAAAAGGGAAAAGGTGTTTTTCCCCCTTCATAGCAGCCCATTCTTATAACCCACCTCCCCCAGCCCAAAATGGGTACTCAAGGCTGGTGCCCACTGCTGGCTTCACCCCCCAGAAAGATTTGTTCCTCTCCCATCACAGATGCCTCCATCCTGTTTTCAGCTTAGCAGACAAATAGAGCCTTTGGGGTTTTTTTATGGGACATGTTACCTCCCCTGCTGCAATGCATTATTGACCACGTCTCTAAATAATCACCAGTCTCTGGGTAAGGAAAGAGGACAGAGAGGAGCCTTATGCCCAGTGATTGACTACAGCAAAGCCGGGGCAGATGTGTATTCAGAACTCCTGCCAATCGAGTTGACCAGATTCATGGCCCCATATAAGACACTCAGGGTTTCTCTCTAGTCATAGAAAATCATAGAAAATTGGGGTCAGAAGGGACCTCAGGTGGTCACATCTAGTCCAATCCCCCACTCAAAGCAGGACCAGCCCCAATGACATTATCTCAACCAAACTACAATCTGAATCAATATCTTTGGCCATCTTCCAATCTCCTGTTGCTCCAAATTCAGCAGTCTGACATGTTTCACTAATGTTTTGCTTCGAGTTAGACATACAAAAAACTAGAACTCTTGGTCCCAAAATGATACCTTTTATTAGACCAACTGGGAAATTGCAAGACAATTGTCCTTTTCTGCCAGCTTTCGGGATCACGGCTACCAACTACACCCTTGATTCAAGTTAGGTCCTTTCCTCTGGTTGCTTTAAGTACATGGGAAGTGATGCAGGCTTGCTGAGACATTTTGAAAAAGCAGCGCATTCATCTGATACTGGGATCCTATCGGATGCTCTTTCTTCAGGGAGAGAGATATGGATATTTTATAGGTGATAGGGTCTCCCTTGGTAAAAATCTGGTAGCTGATATTCCCCCCCCCCCCCGCCACTTTTTAATACACATACATTTCTTTTCAAAGCCTGGCTGCAAATTGATTCAAAGCACCCAGTGCCGCTCACGAGCTCTGTGTACCGCTGAGCTGAGCTGTGCTGTGAGCACTCAATGTGTTCATGAGGTGCTCTGCGGACACATGTGGCTCTAGGAAGAGTAACTATTACTACAAAGAAAGGGGCTGGAAGAAAACATCCCACCAATAGATCTAAAAAAATATTATCTCCATTATACAGGTGGCAAAACTGAGAAGCGAGATGGCTCTTCCAAGGTCTTACAGCAGGCCTGGGGCAGGGTAGGGAATAAAACCCAAGTCTCTCTTGACTCTCTATTCAGGTCCTAAGCAAATTAGAGTGAGAAGTGCAGGACAAGGATTTTTGTGGCTTTCATTGGACCAGCCACATGGCTGGGGTAGATTTAGACAGGCTTTTGAATGCCACCCATTCTTCCCGAACTTTTTTTTTTTCCTAGAAAAATATATTTTGATTTTTTCCAAGGATTTTGGTGAATGAAATCAAGTACCATAAAGGTGCCTGGGAAAGTAGAGTGCATGGGATAGAAGTCACTACCCACTTCCAAGGACATAAGCGGTCAGGAGAGACAGAGACAGTGGGCGTTCATTGGGTAAGGCCATCTGCTCCATGCTGTTCAGGTCCTTCACGGCTGCTTTCCAGCACTCTGGAGCTGGAGGTCTTTAGAGCTGCCATCAAAGAGGTGGGGGGTCCCCTTGGAGTCACTTCCCTGCCTCAGCTTTGGGTTTGGCCCGTGTGAGTGGGAGCAGATGGGGGAACTGTGAGAACATCCCTCCTGGAGGACGCGGGAATAGGGTGTCCTCACACCCAATATTCGCCCAAATGTTCTGCTTCTGGTCTCTGTCTTGGAGGAGGACAGGGCTGTCCCCAGCCTTTCATTTCGCTTTCATTTTTGCTGACTTTCTCAGAAGCCTTCCAGCCTGCAGCAGCTGAGAAATTAATACAACTCCTCTCATGACAGGGCACGGCCGGCCTTGATGGGAAGAACGGGAACAAAGGCGCGAAAGGCGACAGAGGTCTCCAGGGCCAAAAAGGGGAGCCGGTGAGTACAGCACCAGTTGCTAGAGGTCTGTTTTGAAGATTGCAATAGTGCCTTTTCTGACCCGGCTTTCGATTCCTCTGCAAAAAAGAAAAACATAGTCCTTGGCTTTAAGATATTCCCTACTGCTATTAGTAACTCTAGGTGTAGAGAAAATTGCTCTCTGAAATTCTTCAAGAAATACTGTATGTGCTTGCCTACCGCACACCCCTTTTGTCCAAAAAGCAGCCCTGTAAAACTGGGATGAGTGTCTTAAAGGGGGGGGAAGTGGATTCTTCCCCTCTGGAATAGAAGCAGGAGGAGGCGGTGTTGCAGAATAGTTGCCAGCTTCTTTTCCAGCCCCCAAGCAGGAGGTGCAAGTCCAGGGTTAACCTTTCCATAGCCGCTCTCAGTTCGCTGGCTGAGAGAAGCTGGCAGCTATTTTGCAACATGGCCTCTCCGGGGAAAAGCCCGTTCTGGGCCATAACTCTGCAAAAATCCTTTGGTGTGCCTTCTCGAAACAACAGGCATGTCTTTTTGCAGGGGGCGTGTGGTGTGCAAGAAGATACAGGACGTTGAGAATGGGTTCTCGGGTCTGCTGGATGCTGCCATCCACTACCTGAGAATTAGGCCCCAAGTCTCTTCTGCCATTGTTTTAAGTTCTCCTGTAGCAAATTCATCTGGCCTGTACGTTACTTCGTGTGACGCCGTCTTCACTTCCTTTTGGTACCAAGTGCAATAATGCCCAGCGCTGGCAAGACAGGTGTGTGGGAGGGAACTATCCGTTGCTGGCTAATTTCATCTACGGGACAACTTTTGCAGGAAAATGATCTTTTTTTTTTTAAAAGTACAAGGCACGTTGAATTTGAGTTGAGGCTCTTTGAATAGGAGAAGCTGTCTTTCTCCCTAAAGCATATCTGTCAATTTGCTCTTTATCAGTGAAATTTTCTTTTTCTTTTTCTTTCTTTATTAACCCCTCAAATGCCTCCAGGATTTCCGAAGTGGTGCCAGAGAGGGGAAGAAATGAACTCTTTTTTTCATTTTAACCACTCTTGGACACCAGGTGATGTCTTTCATAAAAAACACTGACAAAGTTTTGCTAAAATTGTCCTTGCAACGTCACGCTAGGTCTCTGCAGTGGCAGCACGGTGCATCTGACTGTTTGTGTAATAACTCCTTGAAAGCCCTTTTAGGACACTCAATCACTGAATGAAGATCCCGGCTCTCAGCTGGGCTTTCCACAAGGAACCTCAGCATTGAGAGCAGTAGTCCAGGAGCCGGGGGAGACTCTCTCATACCGATGAGCAGTACTTGCTCTGATCTTGCCAGCCCCTTAGGCATGCAAGGCCATGACCATCCACTGCTCAGTTACATCGTGAGTTTCAGCAGTGATTATGCCAATCCGTGAGACATCAGGAGTCCTATTTTGAGAAGTACCTAAAACAAACAAAGGTCTCAGGTGAATTGCAACACTTTTCCAGCCTCTTCATTACACTCTACATATATCCTGAGCAGCCTTGTAGAAATCGGTAGCACTAGAAAGAGGAGGACAGGTTGCACTAGAAAGAGGAGGCTGAATTACAGTAAGGAAGCTGTTTCCGGGGGGGCCCTTGTGCATGAAGATGCTCATGTAACATTCGTCTCACTGCAGCTGAGAAGTGGCAGCGTTTCTCGAGCTGAGACTTGGGCGAAGTGATTGCTTTGAAAGCTTTTGGGTGGAAAGCACCTTATGAATATAAGAGGGTGCTGCTGGGGTGGATGCACCTTTAGTTTTCCAAATTGCTTGCCATTATTAGGCCAGGTTCTTTGGGTAGATGTGATATCTTTCATTAGACCAATAGAGTAGTTGAGAAAATGTTCTTTGCAAAGCCATGATATCTTTTATTAGACCAACCAAGTAGTTAGGAAAATGTTCTTTGCAAAGATGTGATATCTTTTAGTAGACCAACTGAGTAGTTGGAAAAATGTTCTTGCAAAGAGCATTATCCCAACTACTCAGTTGGTTTAATAAAATATGAGCATTTTTTCCAACAACTCAGTGGATGATATCACATCTACCCATAGAAACTTGCCTACCTATGTCCTTAGACCAACATGGCGACAACCAAAGACCCTGCTGCCATTGCTCTGTATCCATCCTGCCTGACTTGTTTGTTTGTTACGCAGGGGGAGAAAGGGGATCCCGGGATAAGTGGTGACGTTGGACGGAGAGGTCTGAAGGTAAGAAGCAGGCAGGACCACAAGAGGCGATGTGTGGTCGGGCCCTTCTGCAAGGGGGGGTGAATGGTCTAAAGCTGAGTCCTTGAACTTGAATGATGGTCAGAAATGGTACATGGGCCAGACTGCCAGATAGATAGCTGGTAAAGAAGAGATCAAAGAAGCAACCACCTGGCTTCCAGCGTAGACTGCAAGGAAGGCCAGGATCAGTAAAAATTCAAAGCCAGCAGGTCTGCAGTGCTGTAGGAGACAACAGGGTGCATCCAAACATTTGGGATCAGCCCAAGACCACTCTGAGATGGCAGCACAACCTGCCATAGGAGATAAACATATGCGAGACGGTATGACCGAACCTGGCACAGGAGATGCATAGGGAGGATGTCACTGAGTAAAGTTTGTTCATCAGTAAAGGTGCCTGGCACCAAAACCGATTGATCACAAGGAAAAGCCGGTAGGATGGTCCGAAACCTGGTGCAATAGACACAGAAAGGTGTGTAGGAAGGTTGTAATGACAAAGATCATTAATTGGCAAATTGTACATTGCAGTGATGTGGGCTTCATATAAGCACTTCCAGGACGCATCTACACATCGCCCTATGGTGACGTAGTGATGTGCTATATCACCGTATGGCACGTTATGGCGACATAGCGATCCCACAGGTCTACATGTGATCGCTAGCTATGGCACCGTAGTAGCGCGGTCCCCACTTATAGTGCACCACTGTGGTGATGTAGTAGGGACATTTAAGCATGCGCTGCCAGTACGGCGCAGGATGGGCGGTTACTGCACCATGTTTTAGTACTTCCAAAAGGAAGTACGAAAGGAAGTACTAAAACATGGTGCAGTAACAACGTCGCCGTTGGGTGACATGTAAACATACCCCTAATGTATAAAAAGAGTTGAATGGGAACACGCTTTGGATTTGTGTTGAATCCTGCACTAACCCTGCTGGTCTGATCACCTGGCTGGTAGCAGAAATAAAGGCTACATTAATTTTTATCCTCACTGAACAGCTGCTGCATGCTTATGTAAACCATGAAGCAATAGGACCTAGCCAGGTCTCTGTTCAAGTCAGAGCTGGATGATCCACACCACGCAGAGGGGTATTTTATCCTGCATTAGTCCTGATTTCTCTTGACCATCCCCGTGTGCTTTCTCTCCAGGGGCTGCGTGGGCTTCCAGGACGGGTGGGAGCCCCAGGGGCAGATGGAATAAAGGTGAGGATTGTCTTCCTCTTAACTTGTAGAAGAGAATATAGCGAGAGTGGAGGTGCATGACTGACAGACAGCCATGGGAAGGGAAATCTTTCTGTTTAACCCCATGACATGCACATGGGACCTGGAAGATCCCTCCGTAGCATCCTGCCAACGTGCCTCAGAGCTGGAGAAGCTGCCACTATGTCTGGGAGTAGAAGTCACCTCCCATGACCTGCTCTATCGGCATCTCTGCTGAGACTGTCAATGCGTTTTGTGATGCACAACAGCTTGGAGATGTCAGAGCACAAACCTGTGAACTGGGAATCTCATCACTGTCTGGATCGTCATGCTCAGAGAGCAGGAATCAATGACTCGATATTGAGGTGGCAGCTGGTTTCAAGTGCAGTGTCCCAGGGGTTGGTCCTGGGGCCAGTTTTGTTCAGTGTCTTCATCAATGATCTGGAAGATGGGATGGAGCGCACCCTCAGAAAGCCTGCAGATGACACCACGCTGGGGGGTGTAGTAGATACGCTGGAGGGTAGGGCTAGGATTCAAACAGAGCTAGAGAAGTTGGAGGATTTGACCAAAATAAATCTCATGAGGTTCAACAAGGACAAGTGCAAAGTCCCGCACTTAGGATGGAGCAATCCCATGCACTTGTGCAGGCTGAGGGTGACTGGCTGGGCAGCAGCTGTGCAGAAAAGGACCCGGGGTGACAGGGGACAATAAACTGAATATGAGCCAGCCGTGTGCCCTTGTTGCCAAGAAGGCTACCGGCATCCTGGGCTGCACTGGTAGGAGCATTGCCAGCAGATCAAGGGCAGTGATTCTTCCTCTCCATTCTGCACTGGGGAGGCCACATCTGGAGTCCTGTGTCCAGCTGTGGGCCCCCCACTACAGAAAGGATGTGGACACATTGGAAGGAGTCCAGAGGAGGGCAATGAAAATGTTTCGGGGGGCTGGGAGACATGATTTGTGCAGAGAGGCTGAGGGAGCTGGTCTTATTTAGTCTAGAGAAGAGAAGACTGAGAGAGGATTTAATAGTAGCCCTGCAGGGGGGTTGTAAAGAGGATGGAGCTGGACTGTTCTCAGTGGGGGCAAACGACAGAACAAGGAGCAATGGGCTCAAGCTGCAGCAAGTGGATATTAGGAAAAACTTTCTCATGAGAAGGGTGGTGAAGCACTGGAATGGGTTACCCAGGGAGGTGGTGGAGTCTCCCTCGTTGGAGGTTTTTAAGACCCAGCTGGACAAAGCCTTGGCTGGGATGATGTAGTTGGGGCTGGTCCTGTTTTGAGCAAAGGGCTGGAGTAGATGTGACCTCCTGAGGTCCCTTCCCACCCTCGTTTTCTATGATTCTACATGTGTGACGCTGGACGGGACCATTATAATAATTTTGTAGTCTGACTTGGATAATGCAAAAGACCAAAGAGCCTCACTCAATTCTACATTACCCTCGCGCTCCTGTTGACCTGAAGCGTACTGAATGCTTAGCTTCTGTTTTCAACTCTGTCACTGTGTGGTGTTGCTCATGTTGCTTCACCCCTTTTGGGCTTCCATGTCCCCATTTACAAATGAGGGTAATGATCTTTAGTTTCCTCTATAAAATTCATTGTTGTTTAAAGAGCGATATAACAGCTACCTAGGATTTTACCAGCCCAGGGGTGTCATGGCAGGGGGTGAATGCACTGTGTTTCCGATCCAGAAGCACAGGTTTTGAGTCTTACTCTGAAAATTATGCAGCTGATGCAGCTATAAATGGTCCCTGGTCATTCGGGGAGTAAAAGGCAAGCAGAGATGATGCTGGCCATGTCTTTCCTTTGTGTATTGTTGGGTACCATACCTGGAAGATTTTAACCATGCTACACTGATGACCATCTAAGCATGTATGGATCTTCTGTTTAGTGACTTCCCAGCTGACTCAGATGGGTTTTGCATTGCAAAAAATATCTAAAAATCTACTTTTCAATGATAGGTTTTTTTTTCCCTAAGAGTGATTCATGTATTAAAAAACAGGGGTGTCTTCTTCCTTATTTTTGTTGTCAGTCTTGCTGGGACAGACTCTGAATGAAGGGTATGATTGAGCTCATATGACTGGCACAGCTGAGCTCCGTCTTGCTATTTGGGTAATAAACCTCATGGTATCGTAGTATTTAGGGTCGGAAGGGACCTAAACAGATCATCAGGTTCGACCCCCTGCCCCGGGCAGGAACAGGTGCTGGGGTCATATCACCCCAGCCTCGGTGGCCTGGAGCTGGTTCCCAATTCTTCCAGTGTTTTGGGGCAGTCAGGGTCAGATCTAGGAGTCTGGTGGAGATCCACCTTGACTTCAGTTGCCCTTGGTGGTATGATAGTGTTGACCATCTCATCATCTTCCTCATTGATTCGTGACGAATTATCACTCGGTTCTTTTGGTGTCCAAGCTGCTCACGTGCTGTACATTTTATTCCACGTGTAGGGTGAGATTGGAAGCCCTGGAAAGCCAGGAATACCCGGATTAGATGGACCTCAGGGGCCAAAGGTGAGTGGCAAAGACCTTTCTCCAGCTTGCGTGTGAAGTTTTGTAAAACCTTTACAGATGTCTAAAACTCAACTCTACAAAGCTCTCGTCCCCCTCCGTGGTCTTGTCCAGGCCTCAAAATGGGGCTGGTTTAGCTCATCTGCTTCTAAATCAATGGAAGTAAATTGATGTACCTCCAGGCGCTGAGGGTCTGAAAGTGCTTTTAGGATGGCAAAGCATTAATTAGCCTAATTTGGTTTCTTACCAAATGAATGGAGCAAATGTCTGGGCCTGGGCCCAGCAAACATTGGGAGGCCATTTCAGACAGTCATCTACCTGCCGGCTGGCTGTCATTCCTAATGGTCTTTAACCCCTGGGGTGGGAGTTTTTGGCAGGTCTGCCACCCCATTCATTGCTTGGTTGGTTGCTTCTGCACACCTTCTCAGGAGCCAAAACCAAGTGTCATCAGTGAAATTCTTCCCATTGACTGGAAGCTCCGGTGCTGGCCGGCTAGCCCAGGTTACCAATGTTACCTCCTGGGATTTGAGTCGCAGGTAACTTGCCAGGTGTATCAGTAATGCTGCCCTGGTGTGAACAAGCCCTGTGTTACCCCTTCAGATCATAACCCCTTCGGGCTAATCCCACCCCAGGAGGAATCCAGGACTGGCTTTGGCAGGGCATGGGGACAACGCAATCAGTGACCAGCCTGCTGCAGCTCTCCCAGTCCTGAGATGCTCCCCAGCCTCTCCCAAGACCCATTGCTACACCCAGATCACTCTGAGGACACTGTTATTCTTCAGCATGACTTTAAACATGAGGTTGGAAATCCCATGGAGGCTCAAAATCCTATGCATGCTCCCCAGGGACTCTCCTGGGAGCCTCGGCACCCATCCCACAGCTGCAGACTCCACTCTGGGCATCAGCTTTCTCACAGGGATTGAAATGCTCAACGCTGTAGCACCTAAGTCTCCTGGTGCCTTGCACCCTGGCTCGTTTTGCAGCTGGGTCATCCAGTGCAGTGGGAAGTGGTACGTGGAGAGCAATGGCTCTGGAGGTTTGTCTCTAACAGCCTAGCATGCATTGTAATCCCATCAATGCATTGTCTTAGGGAACCGGGATAGCCTCGTTAATGAGAAGTTTGCAACAGTAAGTGGCGTTTTCACTAGGATGGGGCCATTCCTTGCAGTCACCAAGATGTGGCTTGCTTCATTAATTATAAAGAGGGCGAGTTCTTTGTTTATCTGGATTCTCTCTTAACTACCTTTAGGGTAACCAAGGAGGATCGGGCGCCGACGGCCCCGTAGGAATTTCTGGAGAGAAAGGAGAAAAGGTTAGTACTCTCCAAATTGCATTGAGGACAACTTCCCTTAAATGAAGCATCAATCATGTTGAGTTAACGCAATTACATACTGTATAAATCATAAGTACCCTTTGCAAAGGGCAGTAATCTTGGGCATTAGGCTTGTATTGGGGAGACAAAGGGCGTGCTGTCTGTCTGTTCACTCCGGATCATGTGTTTAACCCTTGATGCTTGCCAGGCAAAAAGTTGCACTGGCTTGATCAATACCAGCCCAAAATCTATAGGGCAAAGAGAGCAGAAGTCAGTGTAAAAGTGCTTTATCTTAGCGCTGCTATTCTCAGGTGGGAAGCTATAAGTACGCTGGTATACGGCACCTTTTAACTGCATCCACACGAGCCATTTACTCATTCTCTGGTAGTTGTTCTCTACTATTCTACTGCTGCTTTTATATCCCAGGGGCTTTTTGTATTCATTTATAACTGCTCTCTTATTCATCTTTACGTGTATTTTCTGCATTTAAAAAAAAAACAACCTTGAATTGAATCACACACCTAGAAATTTTACTCTTGTCATAATCTAATCGGTGCATAATTTAGCATGGTAGAAATTTATCTCAAGCAAAATTCATACCGACTACGTCTTGCATTTGCTTTAAACAATGTTTCTAAGTGGTGTCATTATCGAGGCATTGCAACACGCAAGTGCATTGCGTGTGTTTCAACTGGAAATTGGAAGTTACAGAAAAATTGAGCACTTAGAAATGTAGCTGTTGGAAGTGCTCGGTGAAATAATAATATATTGAAGTCATCTTAATGCGCACCCCTACCTATCTTATGCTGTATAGAGGAAATTGGGAAAGCTACTGGGAGGGGAGAGGAGATAAAGGGTGAACAGGATAAAGAGAGAAAGAGGGAATAAATGGTTTATCTAGTGAGGTAGATAAGAGGGGACATGACAACTACGGAAAATAACGAATGGAGTAGAGAGGTAGATGGAAAGGTCCTGTTCCCCTTGTCTCATAGCACAAGAGCCAGGAGGTATCAGATTAGACTGATTTCCAGGCTGATTAAAGGAAAGGCATTTTCCCTTGGCATGCAGTCTGCGTAACTCTCGGCTACAAGAAGTCATGTGAGAGGCAAGGATCCGTTAGGGTGATCTCATTCATTGGACCGACTGTATAGATGAGCTAAATCCATCCCAGCTGCATGGGAGATCCAATAAAAGAGATCGCCCTGAGAAATCATTGCCTTTCACATCATGTCTGGACCATCACAGCTACAACATCCCTTGTGCACTGCAAGACATCATGGAAATGGAGCGTCTGAAAGCAGAACAAAAATAGCCACCGTCAGAAGAGTTAACACTACAAAAGCTTGGGGGAGAATACAGACCCTCAGGGGATGGGACTTAAGCTGGTCTTTAATGATTAGAGATTGCTTCCCTGGAAGCAAATTAATGCATGCCTTAAGTCCCGTGTTTCAGGGATGTGTTTGGTAGCCGTGTTGGTCTGAGACGAGAAGAAATGCAAAACGCTAAAACTCTTGGTTCAGAGATGATACCTTTTATTAAACCAAGAAATCGCAAAAAAATTATCTTTTTTTTTTTTGGTTTGCAATCTTATTTGGTCTAATAAAAGGTATCATCTCTGAACCAAGAGTTTTAGAGCTTTGTGTTGCTTTAACTCCCATGGGTTTTCAAGGCCCTTCCCTTGAAGGATCTGCTTTGCCATTGCTGGCGAAGAGAGTGGGACCGACCCTAGATGTGGACTAGAGGGACAATGGGATCAGCTCTGGCCATTCCTGTAAGAGGAGAGAGAGAAGTCGTGTTTCTTCCTTCCTCCTCGCTACTTTGCCTCAGAAGCCCCAGCCTTTCACAGTTGTTCTGCAAACAGCTTGTCATTGCGGTCCCCTCCTTTGCATCTCTTTCCCTCTCGATCTTTTACAAGCCAGCTTTGGAGGAACAATTAAGCGGAAAGTTACCAGGGGGTCAATGTGCTAAATGGAAACGCGGGCTCAGTCGGGCACGGGGAATGCATCACATCAATCATGTTGGCGAGGGGGGTCCTGTCTTCGCCCATCAACGCTGTCCTGGCTGACTCATGCACGATCTCATTTCCCAAAAGTTTTGCTGTGGAGGGACCGGGAGGGGATGGAGATGACTCTCCCTGCAAAGTGTTTCAATGCAAACCTCCCCACTGTAAATGGATGGGTTTCTATTTTTAGTTTTCGCTGGAGCCATGCATGCAAATGAGAAAGCCAGCACTGACTGAGTCACCGAGGTCTTCCCCTCCACCTCCTCTCTTCTAGTCTTTTCTCCTAAGAGCAAATTTGGGACAATTCTCGTTAGTGCAGGTGTAATGGGTCAGGTAATTGGGAACCTCTTGGGCGGCTGACTAATTCAGCACTCACCTCCGTGGGGTGTGGGAACTGCCTCACTGCCCAGGAGATACTGGGAAGTGTAGGTGTCTCCTGTTAGCTTCCAGGAGATGATGGCACCCACATCACAGAGGAGCCGTGCTATCCTGAAGAGGAATTTGGATGGGGATGTCAACGCATGGATGGCAGACTCAGCAGATGTCAGACATCAAACCGGCCAGGGATACTGAGCCCTACCTGTGGCCCATTTAGCATTGAGTTGTGGTGGTAGGGCATATCCTGGTAGGAAGAATGATCTAGTGCAATGGTCCCTGATCTTTGATCAGGTTATTTAATTTCCCTTGTACCTCAAGGGGTGCATCTACATGTGCACATTTACTGCACAGTAACCAAAATTACTGTTTGGTACGGGCACATGTCTATACCTGCACACTCATACTGAGCAGTAGATATAGCGACAAACCCAACTTGAGGTTAAATTTGATATCTGCATCATGCAGATATCAAATTTATGCCAAGTTAGTTACTGCACAGTAACACATGTGTAGCCACCTTATTGTGCAGTAACACTGTGCGTGGACTGACTTGGGACTAACTTAAGTCCCTAATCAGTCCACACACAGCGTTAATGAGCTGTAATGCCTGCACGTGTAGATGCCGGCCTATTCCTGCTTACTGTGCAGTAATTTACTGCACAATAAATTTAAGCTGGTGTAAATGCATGTGTAGGCACAGCGAAGGAGGATAACAGCACTGCCCTGCCTCACAGAGATGTTGTTAGAGGACTTGCATTAAAAATGATGAGGCATCTAGGTATTGTGGTCATGCGGCCTCTTTCCTACATACCTAGGTATGGCACCGCTGTTCTATGGTTAATTAGGAGCTCAGATTTTAGGGCTATCGACACAGCCTTCCTAGCAAAAGCAGCGTCTACCTGCTCCAGACGATGAAGAGAGAGTTGGCAAAGGGCATTGTCGTGATCCTCTCCCATTCCCCCTTGTTCATCTCTTCTTTCCTATGAAGGTTGCTTATATCACAGACAGACATGATTCTTTGGGTAGATGTGATATCTGTTATTAGACCAACTAAACAACTGGAAAGATTGGTTTTTTGCAAGCTTTTAGGCACAAAGTCCCTTCTTCAGGCAGAGGCGAGGTCTGCAGTTGTTTTGTGCTCACCTGGATGGGAGAAAAGCCGGTATGCAAAAATTCAGGTCTGTGAAAATGCAAAGGTGTGGCAGTGACAGGGATTAGTTGAGGAACTTCCAGCCGGTGTCAAGGGCTGGCATAGGGGTTGGACTGGATGACTTTTCAGGTGCTTTCTATGCCCGTGATTCTCTAAGAAAAGCTATTGGTGGGGGAAGGGAGATATCCTACCTTATGAGTGGAGATTGAAAGAGGTCAGCCTGTTTAAATGAATAAATTAAAGGCAGGAGGGGATGTGAGCGCTCTCTATGAATGCATCCAGGAGGGGGGAAGAGTTGTTGAATCTAAAGTATTGAAGGACAGGGGGGAAAAGTGGCCAGTTAAGCTAGAAATTGGAAGGCTTCTAGCCCCTGGAAAAGTGAGGCTCTGGACCAGCCTCCCAGAGCAGGGATCTGGGGGACATAAATGCCAGCTGGCTTTAAGGCAGAGTTTACAAAAGGGCCTTGATGACATGATCCCAGGGATCCAGCAGGTACCTCCCACTCCCGGGTTCCCACATGAGTTTCTCTCGGAGGCTGAGGTTGCTCCAGAGATTGAATCTAGCCTGGAGCACGCTCTCCTGCTGTTTTGATGGTGCAGCCTGTGGCATAACACAGGGATGTAGGGATTAAGCCAGCCATGCACATCAGTGCAGGCACACGGTTGATCACAGCAAGAGGCTCCCTTGGGGCTTTGATGCATTATGGATATACTGGAGGACTCCACATGCAGCGCTTGATATATGTCCCTTTGTCAGTAACCCAGCAAAAACCCATCTGGATAAGGCTTTATAAATGGCATCTTCCAGGCATTGCTTGCATTTCCAAGGCTCTAAACTCCTCTGTGTTTGGATTCCTCAGGGTGCCAAGGGTGTTCCTGGCTTGGGTGGCTTTAAAGGACAAATTGGACTACCAGGGAAGATGGGTGTTGCTGGACTGCCTGGATCTCCTGGACCGCCGGGGAAGCCAGGGCCACAGGTGAGGACTCTTAGGAGTCTGCATGAGGTGACCCTCGGCGCTGAGAAAACGCCGATGATTGTGCAGAGCAGCGCAGGCTGATTGTCTCTGGAAACCAAGGCAGATCACTCCAGGCTTGGCTTCCACTGGTGCAAAGCAGCTGTGCATCCAGCACAGGAGAATTTGTCACCCACCCGCACAGTAGCCAGCTTAGACCCACACGTAATGTTGCAGGTGACTGCGGCAGCCGACTCTTGGCAGCGACCTCCATGACTTAATCACAACCCTCGGAGGTTTGGAAGACCTAGCTCCACAAATTTCACAGTTTCATAGTTGGTCGGGTCGGAAGGGACCTGAGCAGATCATCGAGTCCGACCCCCTGCCATGGCAGGAAAGAGTACTGGGGTCAAACGAAATGATGTAGTTGTGGCTGGTCCTGCGTTGGACTTGATGTGATCTCCTGGGGTCTCGTCCAGCCCTCATGTTCTAGGAGTCTGTGACTCAAACCCAAGTCACCACGTGGAAATCGGTGATGCTATTGAAAGAAAGAGGTGAAACAAAGCTCTCTCCAAAAGCCACCCCAAAGGTCCCTTCCACTGACTAATAGCTCCATATAAGGCAGGATTGTCCAATAATGTGTTGAATCTGCACCTGCGAACCTACTGTCTGTTGAATCTGCTCATGCCAATGCACGTTTAGTTTTACTTTACCTTTATGATAGATTCGGTGCCTGCCAGTCTAGCACCACTCTTCCCCACACTTGTAGCTAGAGTCATTTATTTATGAAGGCCCTCGGACGAACAGAGCATCCCCCACCTTTGGCTCTAATATTTTTTCAGGGTTGCCTGCAGGGTGGACTAGGATCACACATTAGGTGCCAAAGTTGACTCAAGATGTCTAATAGGTCTGAAGTATCTATGTGCAGAGATGACCTTGTGCTTAAATTACTGCAACACGATGCAACGGGGTTGGGAGTTTTCCCCACCTCTATGGCGTGTGACCTCAGGAAAGGTATCCAGGTTGCAGCTGTATCGGTCTAGAGGAAAAGGCAACTAGGACTCATAGCAGAGATGAGATCTTTTATTAGACCAACAAGATTTTTGCAAAAACAACAACTTCTTTAAAGACCTTTTTTTGCAAAAATCTTGTTGGTCTAATAAAAGATATCATCTCTCCTGTGAGTCCTGATTGCCTTGACCTCAGGAAAGTCACTTGAGGGGTGGGTAGGCTGCATCCCCAGCGAAGGACGCTCAAGTACATCCCACCCACCTGATCCCTCTTGCACATGCCAGACCTCAAGATGAGTGACAAAGCTGCTCCAGGAGTGCTCTTCTCCGCTTCTCACAAGATGCCTGTCCCTGGTGTGTTTGGGAGCAGCAAGGGTGGTAACCAAAGGGGCTTCCTACCACAGGTCTGGCTTTTGCATCCATGAGCAAGAGCAGGTGCTCCCTAGGAGCCCCGAGGATTTTGGGTAGGCATCCCCCCCCACTCTTTCTACACATCAATTCCCCTGGGGTTTAAATGGAGCAATAATCCTCCTTTCCTCTCATCTTTTGTCTGCATCACCTATTGCTATGGTAAGGTCTTCGCGGGGAAAACCTGCTAAATGTTAAGCTTCTAACGAAGCAAACTTCCCCCTGTGATGCTAGGGATGGGGATATTCAGGGCCCACCCTTCTCAACTGGCTTTCAGGATCTATTTAATCAGCATCTTTGAATGCAAGACATGTCGGGCACCTTTTGAAATATAACAAAAGGACTTGTAAATGAGATGTGTGAATGCTGTTTAGGAGCAGGAACATCCTGCCCCCAGATTCTATGGTAATGAGGAGCGCGGCGCTGATATAAACAGCATACAGTGGGGGATACTGGAGGTTCATGCTAATCACCAACCCACAGGCATCATTTATTAAGCAACCAAGAGATCTGCAAATGAAATGGGGCTAAAAATAAAAACAGGCCTCTTGACGGAGGGAGGCTGGATTTGGGGCTGGATCTAATTAAAGGAGCTCAGAAGAATCGAGAAGAAGTTGAGAACTGCCTAGAACAGGTAAGTGTCAGAAAGATCAACTGCTTCCCCTAAATCCATGTGTAGACAGGAGTTTAAAAAGCAACGATCAGGGGGATAGATCGGTGGGGCATTTGGGGAGCCATGTCTCAGCCCTTGTTCGCCAGTGAATAGGTCTTTGTGTATCTCAGCGGTAAAACCCTTGGAGATCCTTCTGGGCAATAGGTGGTGTGCGTCTCTGTTCCTGGAAAATGGCATATTTAGGCCAAGAAGAGATGTAGGGTTTTTTGTTTTATGGCTATGTCCTGTTTGGTTGTTCCACCCAAATACCAAGCTGGGTAGAGCAGTAGATGTGCTGCAGGGTAGGGCTAGGATTCAGGCAGACCTCGACAAACTGGAGGAGTGGACCAAAAGAAATCTCATGAGGTTCAACAAGGGCAAGTGCAAAGTCCTGCACTTAGGATGGAGCGATCCCATGCACCAGTGCAGGCTGGGGCTGAGGGGCTGGGCAGCAGCTCTGCAGAAAAGGCCCTGAGGGTGACAGTGGACAGTAAGCTGAATACCAGCCAGCGGTGTGCCCTTGGTGCCAAGAAGGCTACCGGCATCCTGGGCTGCATTGGTAGGAGCACTGCAAGCTGTGCAAGAGAAGTGATTCTTCTCCTCTATTTGGCAACTGGGGAGGCCACAAAGGAAAAACTGGAAAGCATTTAAAGGAGGGCAATGAAAATGATTTGTGAGGAGAGGCTGAGGGAACTGGATTTTTTAGTCAAGAGAAGACCAAGGGGGAATGAAGAGCAGCCTTCAGCTCCCTGCAGGGGGGTTGCAAAGAGGATGGAGCTGGACTGGTCTCACTGGGGGCAGATGACAGGACAAGGAGCAATGGGCTCCAGTTGCAGCAAGGGAGGTTTAAGTCAGCTATTAGGAAAAACTTTCCTACTAGGACGGTGGTGAAGCACTGGAACAGGTCACCCAGAGAGGTGGTGCAGTCTCCATCTTTGGAGGTTTTGAAGACCCAACTAGACAAACCTTGGCTGGGATGATGTAGCTGGGGCTGGTCCTGCTCTGAGCAGGGGGTTGGACTAGATGTGACCTCCTGTGGTCCCTTCAACCCTCACTGTCTGTGATGCTAGGACAAGTGTCTCTGTCCATCAGCCAGGCTGTGTCTCGCAGAGGGGGAAGGCAGAGCATTGAGCATGGAGAGAATTTATCAGGGGTGGGACCGACAGAATTTGGCACAATCAGGGCCACAGAGACTCTCGCATGACAGACTGTTTTGTTTCTTGGAGTGACCAGAAGTGTACAGAAAAGCAGAGCACAGAGCAACCTGAATATCATCAGATAGGAAACGAATTTCACTTGGGACCTCAACTCATTATGAATCCAGATCCTGAGGTTTCCTGAGGGCAACATGTTCCTAAGCCTCACTCCCTTACTCCCACTGAGGCAAACCAGCGTCTGGCAGTACAGCACAGGACTGTTTGAAGCAGCCCCAAATGCATGCCTTGGGACTGCATTCAGGGTCTCATTCCAGCCACAGGATTGGCGTGAAAGATGGTTTTCAAACCCACCGTCTTGAACCAAGCGACGAGCTCTCTCTGTGCTGACTTCTACCCTCCTGCCTCCTCATGTGGACCATGCAAAGGCAGTGCAGCTTGGCAATCAAAGAAAGAAGGTGCATGATGAAGAGATATGTGGAAACCAATTGGAAGAAGAAACAGGAGAAGGCCCAGACAGACATGGATGAAGGTGCAGAGAGAAATGAAGAAACGTGGAATAGGATAGTCCACGTCAGAAAGAAGAATGGCTGCCAGAGAGGAGTGAAGAGTAGGCTCCAAAAACCATCTGGCATGACAGCTGCTACACAAGCAAGCAGGTTGTTGGATCCACGGCTCCCTTCCCCACTGTCCTCCTCCCTGTGCTATCATTTGCACCCGTGCCAAGTGAGCGCAAAGCTGGTTTAAAACCCCAGAAGCATTTCACACTCACTTTGAATGGATGTGTAGACAACTACGTGAGGCGCAAGACAATGGGGACCTAAGCTCCTGGAGAGAAAACTACAGTCAAAAAAATATTGGAACACCCACCCTAACACTCAAAAATACTATAACGCTCAACCTAACACCCAAAAATACTATAATGCCCAACCTAACACCCAAAAATACTATAACACTCAACCTAACCCCCCAAAATACTATAACGCCCAACCTAACCCCCAAAATACTATAACGCCCAACCTAACACCCAAAAATACTGTAACATTCAACCTAACACCCAAAAATACTATAATGCCCAACCTAACACCACAAAATACTATAACATCCGACCTAACACCCACAAATACTATAACACTCAACCTAACACCTTAACACTCAACCTAACGAAGCACCGCTTCCGTGGGATATCCCCCACCGCCCATCTTTCTATTTTTAGTTTCCAATTTCCTGGCAAATTTCCTAACCAACAAGGTCTCAAGGAAACAGAACGGTTCGATTCCAAAGGATGGAAATGAAAGGCCTCAGCTTTGTCCCATTTTTTTCCTCTGCGGGTTGGTTGCTGAGTTTGTCTCATGTTTGCAAACGGCTCCCCTTGCCCTGAAACCGCCCTTGTCAATGGATATGATACTTGTCTGAAAAATCCTCCGGGGCCCCATCTCCATCATCCCCCCAAACTCCTGTGCCTTTCTGCTCTGAGTTGGCTGGATCCTTCCAAAGTGCAGCCCAGCATCACCTGGACCTGCTATTGCTTCGCATCCCTCCCGCGGCAGTAACTGGTGCTGCCCCTGAAGTGTCACCCTTCTTGCTCAGTCCGGCGCACAGTCCCCAGTGTCGGACCCAAGCCATGAGATGGTGGGAGAAGGATGAGAAAAGCAAGCAGAGACTGGGGAGCAAAGGCTTTGCATCCCAATGCCTCTACAGGTGCCCTCCAAACCGCCTCCCTTGCAGTGCTTTTGGCTGATATCTCACTCTGCCACTTCCCTGACGATGCTGTACACCTGTTACCACAGGGTGGTGATT